ATACATATACAGGTAGATACACATATACATATACAATATATGTACAAATTAACAATAGAAGGAATGAAAGTAGGAAATAATTAAGAATATATAAAATAAAAAGATAGAGTGAGATATATACTTTAATAATATATGAAAATAGGTAAAAATAAGACGTTTTCTGGAGAAATGTTACCAAAATTTCATATATTTCACAATTTTCATATATTTCAAAAGAACTATCAAATAATTTGATTCAACCTCCACTCTGAAAAAAGCACAGGTGTAAGGGACAGAAATAAGCTTATAAAAGAGACTGTTCAAAGGCATCGTGGGAATCTGAGAGCACACAGTACATAGAGATGGCCTGGATCTTTGGAATGGCTTGCAAAAGCTCTTGCTTTGGAGTCAGGAGGAATGAAGCGCAAAAGCTCTTCTCTAACATCTCTTTACCACAAGGCTCTGGGCAGATGAAGTAACCTTCTGTGTCTCAGTTTCCATAGGTACAAAATCAGAGAATTAATAATATCTAATTGGCTTCTTGTGAGTTATAAATAAATTACCTATGACATTTTAGATGCTTGATAAATGGTAGCTATCAGTAATATTATAATTAAATTTAAGAAATTATTTATATGGCGTTTGGGATTAACATATACACACTACCATATAGAAAATAGATAACCAACAAGGACCTACTATTGTATAAAACAGATAACCACAGTGAACTATACTTAATATTCTGTAATAACCTATAAGGGAAACAAATCTGAAAGGCATATATATACATATACAAAACCGAATCACTTGGTTGTGCACCTGAAACTAACACAACATTGTAAATCAACTACACTTCAATAAAAAATAAATAAAAATAGAAAGAAAAACCAGAAAGGAAAAAAAGAAATGATTCATAGAGGTGGGAGTTTTGAATAGAGTATAGGATTCAGATTTCCAGGGAGAATGTAGAAAATACTGTCATACTGAAAAGTCATAGATGGCAATGAGCAGCGTACATGAAGGAGGTGGTAAAATGAAGTCATATATGTGAAAGTACTTTACATTCTTGGCCATGATGCATTTATTATCATTACTCATGACAAAACCATAAATAATGTGCGTGGAGTGGAAACCCACAGTGGAAGACAATGAAACATCAGATTGGAGAGATTAAATGAACAAAAATGAAGAAAGCTCTCAATGTCAGGCTGAGGATATGAGGTTCTTTTCATAAATAATGAATAGTTACTTTTAAAATCATGAATGGAGACTGATATGTAAAACTCTCACTTTATTAAGATAAATAAAGGAATGGATGGCCAGATTGTAAACCACCACAGCTTCACTGCCCTGATCTCTTCACCTTTATCTTCCATTATTCCCCAAGGTAGCCCATCTGCTTAACATCACTTTATTCTTTACTATATGTCTGAGCTCTTTTCATCAATTCTCATCTTCCAGATCTGGATTACCCTCTCCCTTTTCAATAAAAATATTATATTCCTTCAACTTTTTGATATTTTACTTCTCACAAACTGTAGAAACAAGAGGATGATAAAAAATAGGCTGGAAAGAAGACTGCCATGATCATTACAACTGCCTGGACTGTGCTGTGGCACAGATGCTTTTTTTTTTAGAATTAAAGTTTGGGTGCAATAAAAAAATTTGTTTAAATAAATAAAAAATGGAGTAAATGGAGCTCCAAATCAACTATAACTCAATACAAAAATATAAAGTAAATGGGGCTCCAAAAAATAAAAAAAATTTGGGTGATGGACACAGTGTACTGCTAGGTGATCATTATGTTTATGCAGTTTTGTATTTACATCCATGATCTCTTTCTTTAAAAAGATATGTTTTAAAATAAATACATTTATAAAAAAATCTTTTAAAAAACGAGCGATTAAGAACAAAGAAATACATTGGTGGGTAAATCTAACCTAATTCAGGCTAAAAGAAAAGGGAGATGCTACAATGTTCTTTCCAATGTTACTAGAAATATGCTGCAAATTTGTAAGTAGGCTACTACCAAACAGCAAAGAAACCAGAGATAGAAAAGAAATGCAGTCAGTAGCAATAGTCTGGGTTTTCATAAGTAAAAAGAAAATACTTCAGAGAAAGGTGATTAATAAATTATGTATTAAAGAGGGAACATGTAAGGCACTGATAAAATAAAGTATCCAGGTACCCAAGAGAAGTGAGATTTACTTTTATTAAATAAAAAAAAAGATTATAAAAATAGTATTTTGAAAATAATTATAGTTAACTAATAAGATGTTAAAAGTGAACTTAGAGAAAATAGAGTAATCTCAGCAATTCAGCCAATGGCAGAGTGTAAAGAATTTAGGAAGGGATGATTAGAAAGAAATAAGAGAATATGAGACAACTACAGAGGAAAATTCAGGAGGAAAAAAATGGGCGAGTCATGCTTCTAATTTGTGGCATAAAGAGTACTATTATTTTTTATTTTTAAAATGTCAAGGAGAATAAGCACAGATATTGCATTCAATAAAGAGAACACATTTTAAAAGGAAGCACTCAGCTTAAGAATGATGGGGAAAAAGAACAAAAGAAGAACAAGAAAAAAGAAATTTTACTTTTAAAGTCCAATAATCAATTCATTTTTATTGAACTATGAATCTGCTGTAGGTTTTTCAAAAAGAAATGATATGAATAAAACACAGAATAAATTTGTTTTGTGTATGAAAATTGGTTTAAATCAAAAATAAGTTTTAATACCTAACAAAACCTCTATCATCTGTAACAATATAAATGCTAAAAATGGTATTTAATACACTGTATGTTGAGGAAGGGATAAATTACCAGCAGGTTAAAGTTTCCATGTAGGAAAAGCTCTGTACTAACTTTAAAAGGTAAAATATACTTTTGCTTCTCTGTCAAATTATAAACAAAGCCAGGTGTGAAATACAGCAATCTTAACAGTGAGAAATGATATGGTACTATTAGAGTTTCTTTCTAAGCTGAGGGTAGAAGGGGTCAATTCCATTAGAAGAATTATCTTTGCACCTGGTAAATTATATTCAAATGTTGAATTGTTCTAATATTCAGCTTGAGTTGTGATTGATTTCACAGAGTACAAAGCCACTATAATAAGTCAATCATTTTGTCATCTGTATCCAAAAACCAGACCTAGAGCCAATTCTCATGTAAAACATGATTATAAATATATCTGAGGTCAAAGTTTGATCTATCATTTTCCTACTCCAAACATGTATATGAAATGGCTATTTTTATTACAACAAACTGCTATTTTTTTTCAGCTTCTCATGCCAATTACATTGTGCAAGAATTTTGAAGGAGAAAGAGTTAGATAAATGTTTGTGAAACTTATGCCTCTAGGACTCAAATTTTCACAGCTAGGAAAAAACAACTACAAGACAACATTTGAAATAAAATAAGAAAATAATTTAACATTCCCTGAAAAAAATCATGTTTTTAATTGCATATTATTTTATTGGATACTAAGTAAAACACAAGAGAAAAATCTATAACTTGATTTCTGACTTCAAGATGCTTATTACTTTATTGGAGAAGTAAAGAGCAAAGGAAGAAGATAGAAATTAAAAAAGCAAATTAAAAATGTGACCACATATTTTCTTCGACAAATTCTAGATACAGAAAGGAGAAATAAGTGGAGAGTAAGAATATTTGGAAGAAGACTCTATTAAAGAAGAAAGATTTGACCTAGTAGATTTTAAAAAATATCCAGGATTTTTAGAGACAAAGAGGGAAAGTACAATATAAGTAGAAGAAACAAAATGAAAAAAGTTTATGATGTATGGGTTCTTAGGAGCCTGATGAAGCCTGGGTACTCCTAATCAGAAATTTTTAAAGACTACAAAAACAGTAAGAAAAAAGTAAAAAAAAAAAAAAAGTATCAAATATATTCAAATACAATTATCAAAATTCAAAAAAACACAATTTTTGATGGAGCAATATATGTACTTTTTAAAATTAATGCATTCAATAACAAGATTGAGCAGTGCGTCTAATGACTCCCATTATTGAAGTAGCAGTGGTTTTCAAAGCCTGAACATAAGTGATATTTTGCGATATTAGCAACAACTTTAACATGATATGAATATGCCTATCACTTCTATTGGAAACACAGTCATAGTTGCTGCTAAGAACTGGTCTGTGGTATACATTCACAGCTGAAAGAAATGTTAACCTTCAGTGAGAGATTAAAGGAAATAAAGGTGTAAAATTTTCCCTAACAAACTTCATGGACCCCTTCAATTCTATCCATGGACCTGTAAGTGTCCTGTGACTCAAAATAAGAATCTGGAGAAGACAGTGGGAAGCCACCATTCATTAAGCACCTAATGGGTATAGGGCACAGCAAAAAGTGCTTCATGTTATTCTTACAGCATGTTGTTGTAATGGGAAGTGATATTTGAAAGATGAGAAAACTAAGGCTCAAGGAGTTTTAGGTAACCTGCCTGCAGCCACATACATAATGAATGCCATTTATAGGATTAGAGTTCAAATTTCAGATTCCATAGCCTTTGTTTGCTTTTCCTACTGTGGAATATGATCTAGAGAATCAGCAGAATGTCTTAAATGGGCAATCAGAAGATGAACACAGCCAGAGCAAGGAGTTGTTTTCAAGAGTAGTAGAAATACAGTTGGAAGTGTGGGACAGGGCCAGTCTTTGGAGGGTTCTAAACATTCAAAGAGAAATAAAAGTAAATGCTTTGGAGCATACAAAAATAAGCACCTAGGGAGGAAGATGACAAAAACAGTTACTTAAGGAAAAGATAATCAGATGGACTGTAATGGTAAAGGATTATTGTAATATTTTCTGTCCAGAAGATTTTGAAGTAGGTCTAATATGACACATTATACTTAAATGCCTTTTCTAAAATTAGTTGTACCCATTATTGATTTTCTGAGGTGTTTTTGCATTTTTTCTCAATATCTATTCTTAAATATAGCAAGATACACAACACACATATCACTTGCTATTCTTAAATATAGCAAAACACACATCTACTTACTGACACTTGTGCAACTTTCACCATCCACATCCAGCTTCCACCCTTCATAACATGAGCACTTGACTGTGTGCTTGTGTTGCTCACACACTTGACTGCACTTCAGATGGTTGCTGCAATAATCTACAATTTCACATGTTTTATTGTCTCTGCTGAGTTGAAGTCCTTCAGGGCAAGAACAGACAATTCCTCTTCCAGGAACAACAGAACAGTGGTTGCTACAGCCTCCATTGTTCAGTGAACATTCATCTATAAAAGGAGAGGAACAGATTATAGGGCATCATCAATTGTTTTGCTCAATTAAATACTAATCACTGAACTCAATTCTCTAAGGCTGGAATTAGAGAAAGGATATTATAAATGAATGGAGAAAGCACTCTTTAGATTTTTGTCCCAGAAGTTGGGGTAGAAATGATGAAAGAATTCATCTGATGACCAAATAGAGTTCTATATGACAGAAATTGGGAATGGAAGATTTTCATTTCTATAAATCTTTGGAGTACACTTTGTTTTACTCCATAGAAGTAAAGTGAGTTCAATGTTTCCATTATTACTGGAAAGATTATGCTGAGCCTTTTAGCAGTTATGCAAAATCAGTTTTTGAGGGCTTCCAAAAGGGACTCACATACACTGGTGATCTGAAAATCTGACTTATCTCAGTGTTTATAAATAAACAGGCATACACATACACATGTATGTATTATATCTATATATCTTTTTCTACACTTATAGTGTGATTTATAATAATAATCCAGAATGGATTAGTTTGTCCTTTACTGGCTACAGATATTTATTTATTTACTTTTATTTTCTTAGATATTTATTTTTAAATTAGGTAAATTATACATTGTACTTCATATATTGGTTATTATTATTAATTCAATGAGGCTATGGAAACATAATAAATAATACACAAAAATACTTGATCTGGCATTTTGGCTGAAATAATCAGCAAGTAGACTTGTATAAAGAAAGAGAACTTCTCTTTCAGGGCACTTATAGTTTATAATCACACATTAGATATATTTATTTATCATTCTATTTCATCACAAGATTGTAGGATCCATGAGGGTATGCAAAATATTCATTCTGTTTATCATGTATATCCCACAGCTAGCATAGTGCCTAGCATAGAGTAAGCAGTTAAAAATATTTGTTGAATAACAAAATTTAACAAAATCATCCAAAAGCACACAACTGCCCCTAAATTGAGCTAGTATTTGTCCAACTGGGAAATTTCAAGATGTCATATTTATGCCCTTGACAAAAATAGCAAATAATTGTTTTCGCAACCATGATATTACCTATTATTATATACTATTAGGTGCATAGTAACAAGGCCAAAAGAAGCGTTGTCTTTCTCTACTTTAAAAATATGTTTGAGTAGTTTTCAAAGATTGTTCAGTTAGGTGTGTTTTGAGACATACTGAAAAGGAATGTTGTTCAATGATTGGCGAATTGCAATAATAATTACTTATATACCTCTAATATTTCCTGTTCTCTATGGAAATTCATCCAGCTCAAAAAATTGGACTGGAATGTAAGACTTTCAAAAATATTCTCTACACATTTTAAACTTCTGTATGGGTCAACTCTTCTTCACATTTGTCACCATAAAAGAAGTTACAGTAATAAGAAAAGAAAAATGATTACATTAACTGTTTTCTCTAAGAATTCAAGTTTGGCATTATTTTAGAAGAAAAAAAACATAGATTCATTTCTTGGTTCCTTCAAATATGTTTGTTCACCTGTAATCATAATCATTTCAAAACAGCAGTCGTTTCAAAGTCTTTGCCCCATTTTGTTCCATTGACATTCTTTTTCAAGAGAATTACTGTAAAGAAATGTCATCATACACAGCGGGTGAAAAAAATTGGTACAATGCTTTTAGCTTATTTCAAGTACGACTGTTCTCTCAGCATTCAAATGTCTCTTTCTGACACTACCTGTGGAATTAAATCCTAGATTTAAGGATAAACAAAATTCACGTTGAAACTCTACAACTTAATATATAAATTTAATGGCAATATTTGTACGGCTAGCCCCTTGTCAATTTTCCCTTAACCCTAAACCTATCATTAAATCCTGCAGCTTCTTTTTAAATTTTTTGCTACCCAACAAAGACTCTCTCATTGACCAAGCTTTAGTCAAGCACCTCTGAACCCTCAGTCTTGGCTGATAAAACTGCAGACTCTCAGCACAAACAATTTCATTGTCTAATCCTCTCCCCAACCCCCTCCTCCTAAGCCAATAAGAAACTCAGACAAACACTAGCACAGTTTTTAACAGCTCATGGCAGCATCCCTAAAATAACCTCAGCCCTCCTTAAAGTGTCTTCCTGAGAAAGCTCTATGACTCCATGATGCTGCAGAAATTTACTATTGTTTTGCCCCAAACCTGATGATAGGAAGATAGGGCCCTGAGCCCCATCTCAGAGCAGTTACTTTAGAAAGCTTGCAAGATAAATCCTTTCTCTGTACCTTTGAGATGTCAATCATCTACCACTCAGAACTGTTCCTCCCAACCCCAGGATCTGAAAGCCATCTTTTTGAAATGCAAACATTTAAGGAGACAACTCTCTCACCCTTACTCCCAACCCTGTGGGTACCTTGCTCTGACTTGTACCACTGCCTCCAGTCATAAAGATATGAGAAGTTTGTCTCTTCTCTGGGATGAGCACCAATTAACAAACCCAGATGGCCTAGTTACATGGGCCAATGCCCCATTAACACCCCTTAGTGCCTTTCCCATAGCACATTCCAGCCTTTAAAAAGTTTCTCATCTTTTGTTTTGGTGAAGCTGATTTCAATTAATATTGGATACTCTTCCCTATTGCAATAGTTATTACTGAGTAAATATCACTTTAACTAGTATCCAGTTTTATCTTTGACATACCCTTATAACAAAAATCAACAGTTAACTCCCTTCTTGAATGATTGAAATCTCTTCTTATTTCCTTCTTAAGTGCATATCTCTTTCCTCTTGAAATCACTTAAAATTCCCCTTGAAAAAATAATCTCTCCACCAGGATTCAACTTATCTTCTTGAGCTCTCTCTTTTCTTAAAATTTTATAGACCAGATTTATTTGGAGAAAACAAACAACCTCACTACCCAAACGATGGATGTTTACATCTCAAGACACCTCCCAAATACTGTCTACAGATTACAAGTAATTTTCATATATTTTACATGTATTGAGGAACAGGATATGAATCAATCCCTGTTTTTGTTTCAACGGGGAGTAGGGGATAAAAAACAGCTATTTTAGATACAACTATTTGGAAGGAGTTGACATGAAGAGGGCAAACCCTACATTTTCACCATCTATAGCAAATGGTTTAAAAAACCCTTTCAACTTTGGGTATCTTTCTCTAAAATCCACTCTTTAGTTACAAGCCAATTCATGCCAATTATTTAAAGTTAATTCACTTGGTATATCTTTCATGTCCACCAGGTAAATGATTCATTATGCCCATTGCTGCAGCACTCAAACCAACATCCCCGCCTGGCTGGACAGGGCCTAACCTAGTATTGGTTGGAAAAGGATTTGAAAACAAGAGACCAAAGTGTCATTTCCCTACAGGAACCAATATTGCCGACCATCTACAAACTGACACTACAAAGGTGCACATAAAAGCACCTTTTCAGAGGAAAGAAGAGCCTTCTGCAATTCAGTCAATCCCTTGACCAGTGATTGTTTTTGTTTTTCATTGTTTTAATTCTCCCTCAACTTCACCTGATAAAGGACAGAGTATGTGAGTTCAATATGCCACAGTGCTGCAACCAGTACAAAAATATCCTTTTATCTCCTCTGGTACTTCCACACCTAACTTTACTGTGACCTTTTCCACTCCCTGTAATCATTTAAAATCTTTGAGCAAGACTTCTTAGCCAATGAGTACAGTAGCTTGATAAGCAAGAACTGATTTTCAATCTTGAAGTAGACAGAGAAATGAATTCAGAAGAAATCCCCTTTTCTCTTTTATTTTCCCAATTTAGGGAGCAAAGAATAGGAAAATAAGGCTGCATTTTCTTATGATTCTCTTCATTTTTCTTAATGACTGTATTTTCTCTTCTTCACCTTTTATTTACTTCATTGAACCCAAAGGGTGAAGAAAAGATGGAAAAGCACTAATTTATTTCAAGACCTGTAGTGCATTAAGTATTATTACCATGATTTCCTAATAGATATCATCTCCATTTTTTTAATAAGGAAACTGACAATTCCAGAAATTAAGCCACCTGCCTAGGTGACTTAATTGAAGTAACTGAAGAATAGAATTCAAACTTGTCAAAATCTCATTTTTTTCTATAATTATACACTTTCAATTTTAAGACTGTTGACAGTTTCCTTCTTTTAGAATTGCTCTTACAAACTTCATGAGCAATTCTCATACATGGTAATGTAAGAGATCTTTCCATCCACCGAACTACTCCACCAGGGAGAACAGGCTAGGAGAAAAAGAAGTGAATACAGATAAACTGTATAAATAAAGTCTGTCATCCTTTATTTGTAATTTTTTGGATTTAATTTTAGGGTTTCTGTTTGTTTAAATGATAGCATCACTGAATGAAGACTGTTGCATTTACTGTTTCAAGGTTGTTTTATAGAATCACAGACTATTTGGAAGAAAGGATGTTTTATTACATAAATTTTAAAAAGAATAATAGTCTTTTTTATATCACTCAGTATGCTATTAATGCTCAATTCAGATCAATATATGATAACTTTAGGCTTAAATGTAGTTGTCTTTCCTATTTCCAATCAGGCAGGTTCATCATTTCCTAAAGTCATTTTCTCACAGCCTCAAGTCAACTCATTATTGTTCTTATCATGCTATAAATCTTCGTCATTACTCTATTGATGTCACCTTCAGTATTATCTAGAAATCTCCTTGCGAAAGCTCTGATCTCCCCACAGAGAAGGAAATATAATTGCTTTATATGTGCTGGTGGCATAAGGAGATGGCTAGTGAAAAGTGATTTTAAAGCTCAAAAGCTATCACACTGAAATCATCATTTTAACTAGATAAAGCATACTAAAGAAAGCTACTGTATGAAAACTAAAAACTTCTGAGAAAATTATATAAAATCAAGTAATATTCTATTGATTTCATTATCCAGTTTCTTCCTTTCCTCTTTTTAAAAAAGGTTTCTGTTGTAATGATCTGAAGTCCTGACAAAATACATTGGGTGGTAGTAAATTTCATCCCATAGTTTAATAATAACAGGAGTCTTCTGTTCTGAGCAACTCACTGACAGAATATAATCAATTCAATTGTGGGAACATCATTGACTATTCAGAGATTTAAATGATGAACGCAGCTGTACAATTGTTAAGTTAGTTGGATCAGGTAGCCTTTTCTGCTTCATTTTTAGAGATTTCTGATCATATTTAATTTTTTAAATAAATATACAGTGCCTGTAAAATGTAAACAGGATTCAACCCTAAAAGTTACATTTAAAGAAATGACTGGAAGGAACAAATGCTACTATAATAACTATCAGCTAGTGGACTAAAAGGTTCTAGTCTCCAGAAAGAAGCAATGCAGTGAAACGTGCAATACCACAGAGGTCGCCTTCGTCAGACCCATCAGGACAATCCCTTCTCCCATTGCAGAGCTTCTCTGGCTGCAGGCAGACCGAAGTGTCATTAGCACAAGGGTACTTGGGTGGCCCACACAAGAAACTGTCACAGTCATCTTCGTCTGATTGATCTTCGCAATCGATATCTCCATCGCATACCCAGTCTTTGTTGATGCATCTCCCTTAAGAAAATAGCAAAAACATGCATTTAATTTTTGCAATTAAGCCACTGGAATAATGAGTAGTCATTGTCTTCAGCCAGAGGCAGAACAAATTGCCATTAGCAAGAAATCTATTTGCTGATAGTTTGACATTTCATGACAGCATTTGAGTAGTTCTTGTCCTCATTGTAATAGTATTCTTAGTGTTAAAGCCCTGATATTTTCTTTAGTTTCAAGTTATTGCCTTACCCTATTTTAAAAAAAAATCTGTAACTCATTGAAAGTTTAATTACTTTTAAAAGCAAATTTTATTTATAAGTCCTTTTCAGTGCCCTAAATTTAGATAGGTGATATCACTGTATTTTGGAGACCTAAAATTAAGCAAATGCTTTATTTTTGAAGGTGAAGATGTCCTTCTATTTACATTTATAACCTTAGCAACTCAACTCCTCACATTCAGACTTATGTACATGCCCTTTCATAGAAGAATGTAAAATGTTACTAAACATTTTAGTAGCTAAGATATATACAGACAAAATTTAGAGAAATATGTTCTTTATTGACTTTGAAAGAAAAAAATGAAGTGATTATTGTTTAGCCAGAATGTTTCAAAAGTAACAATGTGAAATTCCTAGAAAGCAATGGGTATTGACTATGTAAACTGTTTTTGTTCGTTGCAAATTATTCTTCCTTTCCAGAATATTTGTATTTTTCTTCTAATTAATCATCTTTTCTGAATTATACAATGTTAATGTGTAATGTGAATTAAAAAATGTTCCTAAAGATAAATACTGGTTATCAGTTGACTACGCCAACATCTCATAAAATGAGTGGGGCAAATAAAAGGGAAATGGAAAAACGTTAGGTTGTATATGTCCAAGAGTCATTACGTATTTAAATGTCTTCTTCAAACTCAAGGCTACTGAATTTTAAAATATTTAAAATATTTGTGAAAATGTTTTATTTATAGAAACATATTAATAATTCTCTATGCTACTATATATCAAATAAGAGAAAAACAAATGATCAGTTCCACAGTTAATATAAATAAATTTGATAATATTCAACATTATTTATTGATCAAAATACTCTTAAAATGAATTATTTTATTCACATAAAATGAACACTTTATTAATGAATTTGAATATAAATGGAGGAACATTATAAAATTTTGCTTTAATATCATAAATAAAACTAATAATGTTATTATTTTATATTGCCTGGAAATATTATGTAATATAATTAGACAATAGAAAGAAATGAGGTATAAAACTAGAAGAGAATATCATTACATGCAGTTAATATAATCACATAATTATAAATCAATAAAAACTAAATAAGAACTATAAGAAACTAAGAATTTAAAATATATGTAGCTAGTTTCAAAAATTATACAAAAATCAATAGATTTCATATATACAAAGATAATATAGTAGAAGAAAGGGTCAACCAAAAAATCTACCATAAAACAAAGTATTTTGAGTTAAACTACACAAACACTGTATATAATTTATATGAAAATTTAAAAGTTTATAAAGAAACTCAAAAGAAGCCTGGAATAAAGATATAGTTTGGTTTTAGAGAGGAAGATATATTAAAGGTATTATTTTTCCCCTAATTAATACCATCCCAATAAAATAGTAACAATATTATTGTAATCCCATGAACTTATCCTAAACTTAAGAAAATAAAACTGCAAATATCATGAGGAGTCTTCTAAAAAAAATAGAGGAACACTAATGAGTAGGAACTACATATGCCAGGAATTTAGAAGTGTTTTAAAGTAACATTGGTTAAATTTTTTTCATAACAAGATATCAATAAGCATCAATAATTAAACAGCATAGAGACATGAGAAGTACAGTCATTTATGTACATGGTTTTAATATACAAAAACTGGCAATTCAAAATAGTAGAGAATAAATAATTACAAAATTAATAATGTTAGGATTGTTGATGAGCCACCTGGAGGAAAAAAAAATGCTGAATCTTTACTTGATCCTTACACCAAAAAAAATTATAGACAGATCAAAGAAGTGTTTTAAAATAATAACAATGATAATACACATTCTAGAATAAAATAGCTATTAAAACAAGAACATTACAAACATAGAAAACATAAAGGACAAATTGACAAACTTAAATACTGTCCACACTGAGCAATAAAATCCATCTACAGAGTCAACATAAAGTCAATAAAACAGGAAAAAAATCATTATATTTGACAAAAAGGGCATATTTCTTTAAAATAGAAAAGCCTCATAAATCAATATGATAAAGATCAATAAACCAATATAAGTGCAAGATTCACAATGAATCAATAATGGCTTACAAACGTAAGATGTTCAAAAAATCTCTCAATTAAAAAAGTAAACAAAAACAGCAATATGATAGCATTTTTTCTCTCACATTGATTAAGATTAAAAAGTTGTATAACACAAAGATAGATTTGACAAGGGTATAAAAAAACAACCCCAGTGTTGAAGGGGCTGCAAAGTGGGATAATTTCTCTGTAGGCCAATATTATGAAATCTAGTAAATTAAAAATGTATCAACTCCTCACCACAGCAATTCTAATTTTGGAATTTTTGTCATTGGTATATTTGCCTGATGTGCAAAGATGCATATGCAAGGGTATGTGTTGCTGCTTTGTATATATTAGCAAAAGTCTGTTAACAACTTAAATCAGCATTGCAAGACTGGTAACATCAACTACAATGCATCCATACATTGAAATTATACACTTGAGTGAAAAACAATGAGATAATTCTGCATAAATTAAAATAAAACAATCTTCAAATCATGTTAAAAAAAAAAAGGCCTACACCTGAGTTTGCTGTAGGTTTTCTTTTATATTAGAATAGAATTATCTGTTTATCAATATCTGTGACTACATTTCCATACATATGTCAATATAAGCACATGCATAGGCTTGTCTCTACATGAATTCTTTCTGGAGGGTTATGCAGGAAATAATGAAAAATGATTGCTTCTGGCGAGGAAGACAAGGTGCCTGGAGTAGAAGCCAGATGGATTTTTCATTGAATCCTTTTGTGTTATTTTGTTTTCCTTCCACTATATTTCCATGTAACTTTTCAAAAAAAAATACTAGCTCATTTTAAAATGATAAAGATGAAACATATACACATATGCCACAAAGTCAGATAGTTTCTACAAATACAGAGGTTACTCTGTGCCTTATACTTTCCTAGAGAGTTTAAGTAGTATAAGAAAGTCCTAAGACCCGTTCCCTGTCACCAAGGAGTTTATAATCTAGTTAGCAAGACAAGATCAATGCATAATACATATTTGTAGTCTAAAATATGACATCCTGTACTTAAGTATTAAGTTGTATGGGATCATCTGCAAGTATAATAGAATGAAGGGAGAATTCAAGAATAATATAGTAATTTCCATTTTTAGTTTGTAAGTCAAGATGCATCTTACATTTTCCTCATACACACCCCATAATGACATTCTTAACCACTGACTCCAGAATGACCCTAAAATTGTTTCAACAAACCCATCCATAAATCGCTATCAACCTTTTAGAGTCAGAGTGGCAGTAAAACCTATTTGCCACCCCTGATTTAAATGCTGCCTGGAAAAGGTAAAGAACAATCTTACGCAAATGACTAATAACTTTAACATAGATTATGTTACCAGAGATATGAATAAATATGAATACGTAGCTTAGATAAAATGTACAAATTTCAATAGCTCTCTCCTCCCACTGATTTTGCAGGGGATGTTTGAAACTTAATTGCTTTTCCCTTTCTTGTTTGGTTTTAATTTTTATAAAAATGTAGATAAGAGCGTACACCAGGTATGATAAGTTTAGTTAAATTTCTATTTCATACCCATTAATTGAATAAAACCCCAAAGCAAATTACCTTAGTAAATATGCTTAAAGAGTGTTGATTTTTACTTGATTTGTATCAAGACAAATACTTACATAGTGAAATCACTGGACATAACATAGTAAAAAGTAAAGTATTACAACTTCCCTTGTTTAAGCGCCTTCCTTTATATATATAAGAAAGTTGAAACTCAGGTCAAATTAGTATTTTTAAAACAAAATAAAGATTAATAATTCTAAAATGTGTTACAGAAATTATACACATCCAATATCTAAAAACACAAAATCTTTAAAAATAACTTTTAAAAATATTGTGCACAAATAAGTTCAAATAACCAAGTAAACCAAGTTCAAATTGTCTTTACTAATTCTTCTTTAAAGAGATATCACAGGTTAAAAAAATATTTGGTGTTTATTATCAAGTTGAGTTCTACATAATATTTTCTGATTTATTTAGGAAGATGTTTTCAACTTGATTCTTACTATGTGTGCAAGACACACTCTTCTGGGAATTGTAGTTTTGTCCTTTGAGCAAAGAGAATAAGAACGGCCAAGCAACAGCAGCAACAAAAAACAGAAATAGCAAAAATCAGCATGTTGGTATCATGGCAGTTACTACAATCACACACACACACATACACACACTCTCTCTCTCTCTCTCTCATACACACACTCAGGACTTTGTAAGGACTATTTTGATTTGTGTAACCTTGAAATATACAGTTTAGGTCTAAAGTCAGTAGAAAGTCAACAGCTATCGGAAAACGAAGAGGTCCTATGAATTCCTAGAAAATGTGCTGCTTTCCTCAAATAAACTTATATGATCGCTTCCAAAGTTCCTTTTCTCTCTGTTAAACTGTTTTGGCTATTTTTTAAAAATAGATTTATTAATTTGTGAACTGCCTGTCTTTTGTCTTTATGAAAGACAACACGCTACAAGAGGACAATTTCTGTCCTGGGATATGACTGGCAGTTAATATCAAGAATATGGGTATGAAGAAAAGTGAATCTTAGAAAAAATCCAAAGGCATTTACTTAATAATATGATTTTTTTGAATATTGGTTTTTGAAATACAATGTCTTTTAATTTGTATACTACTAACCTTTAATCCCACATACATATTTATTTCTCTAACAATGTTTGGCTTTGATTCAATTCAGC